AGAAGTTATAATAGAAGTAGCAAATAAAAAAATTCCAAAAAAGAAGATATTGAATACAAAAGCAAATAGAAAACATCATCAAAAGAAGTCACAACAACATAAATACATAACTGAACTACAACAAATAATCAAAAAAGCAAAGATTAAAAGAAACCAAGAGATAGAAAAAGAAGAAAAAGATGAGATAAACAAGAAGCTTATAGACATTGGTAAAGAGATAGGAGTAGTGTTACCAAAGCTACACAAACAATGGTCGGAAGCTTGGATAGATGATATAAAAGGCTGGCAAAGAATTCTAAAAGACAGAAAGAAAGAAGAGTGGAAATGAGCCCAAAGAAAATAAATAGAAGAAAATATAAATAGAAAATATGAGATAATAAAAACTGACCAGAGATGAATGATTGCTAGCCTTCTAAACAAATTATACAAAAAGATAATTCTAGACAGATTTATAACCCAAAGTGAAGATGAGACCAGTCTAATGACAAAGCCTAAGGATGTTATAGAAGGTCTGGCAAAACATTTCAGAAATTAATTCAGAAAATGAAGAACCAAACTAAAAGAAATGCCAGAGGAATGAATAGAAGTATACAACCCAAAAGAGTAGATCAAGGAGTCCTGATGCAAAAAGGTAGAAGAAAAGATAGAAGAGAAAGAATGTAAAGACATATTAAGAGAACTCAAGGCCAATACAGCTTCAGGAATTTCAGATATAAGCTACACTTTAATAAAATGAGCAGGAAGAAAATTGCAAAAGATCTTTAGAGACTTTGCAAATCTGGTTTTAGAAACAGGTGAAATACTAATAAAGTAAAAAATAGCGCAAGTCTATCCAATCCTGAAAGATGTAGACTAAAAATATAATCTGAACAATATTAGACCAATAGCACTAATTGAGACCTTTAAAAAGTTAGTTATAAAGATAATAATAAAAAGGCTAGCCAAGATATTTATAGAAAGAGAAATACTTAAAGGACCAAATTATGCAGGCCTGCCTGACAATTCCACAGAGCAGCCAATACATATACTAAATATGATAATGGAAAAAGCACAAGAAAAAAACAAAGAAATATGGATACTTTTGCAAGATATGAAGAAAGCATTTGACTTAGTTCCATTAGAAAACTTAGAGTAGGCACTTAAAAGAGTTAAAGTACTACAAAGAACAATTAAATATTTTATTAACCTCTTCTGTAAACATTAACTCAAAGTAATTACAGCTTATGGCCTAACAGAAGAAATAACAGCAGAAGATGGTATAGATCAAGAAAAAGTGATTTCTCTACTTGTCTGGCAGCTTTTCTACAATCCACTGTTAGAAAGAATTCAAAAAGATAGATTACTAGGCTACACAGTAATGCAAGAAACATTAAAAAATGCAGACAGTAATTGTATCACAAAATATAGACAAGCAGTGATTGCCTATGCAGATGATACTATATAGATTGCAAATAGCAAAGACCAAATGCTAAAAATTCTTAGAATTGCAGAAGAGTTCTTTAAAGCGAATAATATTGAAATAAATGAAGCAAAATCAAAGCTTATAGTAATAAATTCTAGACTAAAAAAAGAAGATAGAGAAATTATATTCAGACAAAGTAGAATAATAAAAGAACCAAAAAACAAAATTGTGAGATCATTAGGAATTTGGCTAAACAATGAAATGAAAGAGTCACTAGTCTGCAAAAAAGCAAAGAAAATAGTTAACCAAACAGTTAAAGATCTTAGATATAAAAAAATGACAATGAGCCAGATCATATATATAAATAATACAGTAATAATCCCAAAATTAGGATACCTTTTGCAGTTAACAAGAGTATCAGAAAAGATGATCAACAAAATCCACCAGCTGATAATATGTTTGGCAAAACATAAGTGTAATATGCTGAAAACAATGAACAACTGTATAATTAAACACAAAGATCTGGTAATTGTAAATCACTAAGTTAAGAGATAGCAACAAAGCAAATAAGCAGTTTATTCACAAGACTCAACAAAAAAGACAATTTAGATAATCTAACAAAACTTAGGATAGCTTAAGGGTATCAAAAAGCAGGCTTAGTAAAAGACATTTGGAACTTCGAAAGAAGACCAGAAGAAATAATGTATTGGAAACACAATTTAGCCTGTCGAACAATAGTTAAAGCAAGAGAGATGAGAATTAATTTCAAAACAAAAGATTACCTATGAAGAGTACATAGCTATGGAACAAGCATAAGAGACTTAGTTAGAGTTAAATTATGGACAGCAAGTAGTAGTACAATAAATGAATGAGGTCTAATATATCTGAACCAACTTATAGACATGAAAGAGGTGAACTTAATTATATAGAGACAGCTCAAAAGTCTTTTAGGACTGTCATGTAAAGGAAAAAAAGCCAAATGGTTTAGTGAAATAGAAGAAAAGATGTTAGTGATACAGACAAGTAGAGAAATACACAACCAATACAAGATTAGAAATCACAATACACAGGCCTTAAGGATCAACTGAACAAAGATATCTGAAGACAGAAGAAAGAAAAAGTAGATTGTACATAAATCAAAACATAATCTGCAATTTAGTAAGATATCAAAGAAGAAAAAGAAAAAGATCTTAGCAGAACATTGGCTATTACAAAAAGTAGAAGGCAAGACATATACTGAGATAAGTAAATACAAAGGGTGTGAGAACAGAACAGAACAAGTAACAAACAATTGTGAGAAGTGAATAAGATAGAATAATAACTTAAAGGCGGTTCCAGAAACATTAGTAGAAAAAGGCAGTAACAAGATTAATGTAACATTAGAACAAATACTAGAAAATAGAATAATAGAAAAATGGAGAAAAAAAGTAGGCTAATCAAACTTAAACAAATAGAAGAATTAGAGACAGAATTAATCAAGAAACAAGCATTTGACAGTAAAGTTGAAGATATTATAATAGAAGCTCTATCAAGAAACAAGAGAAGAAACAAAGACAAATACACCCTTTACACAGATAGAGCATTATATAAAGAGAAAGGAAAAGATAGTATAACAAAAATAGATATCGGTTAGGTGCAGGTTAGTGATAAAGAAAACTGGCCAGAAGAAGAAATAACAATGAGACTTGAAGGTTGGCCCTTAGCAATGATAGCAGAATTAGCAGCAATATGGTTAGCAATTTTAACTATACCAGAGGGAAAAGGTATAGAAGTATACACAGATAACCTTGCAGCATTAAGGCACATTAATAGAGCAATTCAAGTAATAGGAGATAACAAAATTCTAAAAAAGAAAAATATAATATGAATAATAAATATTGTAAGTCTACTCGAAAACAAGAACAATAGAATAGAATTAGTTAAAGTTAAAAGTCATAGCAATGACAAATGGAATGACAAAACAGATTTATTTGTAAAGAAAGAAGCAATATGTGAAAGGACAATATTCATAGAAAAAATTAAGTATGACAAGATAGAATACTACTTAGAATGGAAAAATAGAAAAGTTGATACACCAACAAGACTTCTTTGTAAAATAATCATGAATGCCAGAATTGGAACTATCTGAAGAGAAACAAATTCAATTCGAACACTGAAGCCAGAAACTAAGAATACTCAATACAACTGGTCAAGTTTTTAAAAAAAGATAAATAGAACAAAAGGTGTACATTGCACAATAAGAAAACTTAGTACAAGAAGAGCTATAGTAATTAAATGCATAATGGACAGCCTATCAATACTAGAAGAACTAAATAGAAGAAGACCAAAAATATATACAACAACTGACTGCCAAGTATGCCAAAGAGGTGAAAAGGAAACTCAAGCATATCTAGCAAGCTGCATCAGACAAAAAAACTTGTGGAAGAGAATTCAAAAAGTAGTAATAGCAACAGCATAGAACAGTCTTAAAGAAAATGAAAGAGTTAGAATTCTATCTCTTGTGCTATATAAGGTATTATTTGAAAAAACAGAAGCAGAGAAAATTACTAATAGAGCAGCTTTAGTAAAAGAGTTAATAACAAATGAGGTTGGGAAAAGGATCTGTCAAATTCTAAATAGACAGACAACACAAAAATGCATAGATATAGTAGCAAGAATAGTATGGAATACATTTTATGACTAAGTATAGAGAATCTATTATGAAAAAGTGCAAGGATGGAAAAAGAAAGTTAATATAATAAGCAAAATGAAAAAAGATGCTCGAACTAGAAGAAGATCAGAGAAAAGAACAAAGAAGAATAAGACAGCAAAAGAAGAAGAAAAGGAGAAGAAATTGGAAAGAGTAAATTGAATAAAGAAAGAAGCTTAGAAGACAATTGATATGCTTGTTATGAAGAAGGAAAGACCCTTCTGGTATGGCTTTAAGTAGTTAGATGAGCAGTCTATCTCTAACTGAGATAGTGCAACAGGTTGCACTTAGGTACCAATAGGGTGGCCAAGTGATGCTAGACTTAAGTATTAGGAAATTCTATGTAATTATAAATGTAAATAGTTTCAAGAATCTTAATAAAGTACTAGTGTAACTGCTTAAGGTTAAAAAAAAAAAGTATCATTTGATCAATTATACAATTCTAAATCAAATATGCTAATTATTTGATAGGATACTGCACAATATAAAAAGAAAGAATGAAAATTACAAGCATTGACACTTTGTCTTTTTGCAATAACTCTACATAATACTTTTTGTAAGCATTCTTTCTCAGTTCTTAGTTGGTTTTATAATCAAAAACATACTAATTTGATTACAGAATAGATGAAAGAGATGTGCAAATTGCACACCTTTTATATTACTAGTATAAAACAAAAATTATTTTGTTATGCAGTTGATATACCTGAAAATTTATTACATAACCAACTAATCAATTTAGTTACAACAATTAATAATGAGATTGATAAAACCATTGATTTTTTAAATACTAATAATAATAATCATAATAATCTCAATACAGAAATAGATATCAATATATCCAAAATGTATACTTTAAATACGTATTATGAATAGTATAGATATTGGGTTGCAAATATTTAATGTAAACAGAAAAGCAAATGATAAAATAATAATCAGTCCAAGAAGACAAACTATCATATTAGATTCACAACACAATGATTTTGACATTGAAACATTAGCTAGAAATATGTCAATGGAAATTAATAATGACACAAATTCTTAGATTATGTGATATATATTTTGTTTCCTCTAAATAAATTTTGGATTCGCTATGCTGCGTGTATTTTTTGAAAATATCGGAACACCTATTGTACCTTATGTGTGGTTAAACTAACATTTTTTTTCAGAGATAGATTTAACACACTGACAACTTAAAAAATATTCACTTCCGGGTTTCAATTTATAAAAAATAAATTTCGGCTAAATTTTGGGTTTCGGCATAAGTTTCGAATCAGTGTTTTGAACTTTCGGTTTCGTCAAAACCGTTAAAAGTTTCGGTCACATGTATAGTGTGGGTGAAAATTAGTAAAATCCATTTGCATGTGATTTAAAAGATTGTGTGTCTTTTTAATTCCTAGGATCGGGCTGGACGGGATTCGCAATTTAACATCCCTATATTAAATACATACACGAATTAAAAAAAATAGAAATTATAAAATAAAAAGATACAGAAGTACAAAAAACAAATCAAAAACATTAAATCAATCTTAATCGAAATACTAGTTTTATTGACATCAAACTAAATGACCCTAATAACCTTAATAATAATCAATATGGCATCACATTCTAGTCTCGAAATTTACAAACTTATACTTTATTATTTAGGCTTGTTATTAAATTATTTCGCTAAATTATTTAACTGGCGGTACCTGTCTTGGGCTTATAAATAAACCAAATTAGCGAATATATAATAAGTATCAGAAACAAATTACTAAACTTAATGGATTTGTATATTATATTTATGACTCATTGGCTAAATTGAAATGTTCGGACATACTCTGACTGTTTATAAAGTATGACGTGAGCTTCTAATTTTGTTTGTCGGAATTCGTATTCGTGGCTCGGAATTCAATCTTGTGACGGAAAATCATTACTTTAATAGCCAATCAGAATGAAAACCCGCTATACTGTTATTCAACCTGTTGACCGGTTCGGTTCGGTTACCAGATTCTTAATGTTAACTGGCTCAAGTCACTAACCTAAATTAAGGTTAGAACTAAGGTTAGTGCTGGTCATTAATCTGATTGGACCGGATCATACACTACCATGTGACTAATGTGACTAGTCTTTTTGGCATGGCTTAAAAATATTCATAACATTGTTAACTTCTTGTTTTCTTGTATCAAAGAACAAAAAAAGTCATTGAAGATGTATACAGAAACGCAACTTCGACAACTTAAAATACCTGACCTAAAGGAAATATTGTCTAAGGAAAGCTTACCAGTTTCTGGCAAAAAGGAAGAGTTGATATCCAGAATTTTGGCGGCTGAGAATAAAAAAACAGAGGAGGCTTTGAAACAAACCAGTAATATGGATATTAGTAATGTCATTAACAACGACACCGATCCGAAGAATGACGATGTAGATATATTTGATAAGGATCTACTAAATTCGCCAAATGACCTCACAACAGGGCTTGATAATTTTGATTGGGAAAAATTCACTACCGAGTAAGTCAGTCTTGAAGAGTTCTTTATAATGAGCTAACATATTGAATATATTGTTAATCGACTAAATTTTCTAGTGACATTGATGCCTTGTCCAAAGATAACACATTTGATTCGCTTATTTCTCCTACTTCCCCTTCACATTCTACCAATTCCAATAAAGATAATACTCAAGAAAAAGTAAAATCTGATGTGCTCAAAGATGATCAATCTCAAACAGTGAAATCGGACGATACCAAAAAAACTTCAATTAAAGATGATACAAACACAGAAGTTTCTAAGTCTGACGTTCTCATTAAGCCGTCAGGGTTCACATGCAAAAAGATTGTATTTGACGAACCGACATCACCGATTAGTAAGAGCCAATCGGACTTAAATGTAGAAATTGAAAGGCGAAAGAAACGTGCAGAGCGCTTTGGAACGCAATTATCAGAAGCAGATAAAAAGCTTCAAAGGGCTGCAAGGTTTGGTGTTGAAGTCACTAGTCCTATTGATTCTCCTCTCAAAGGTAATTAGCAAGGATGGTTTAGTATTTCGAATATTGAATTCATCACTTTTAAATAATTTCCTGATTTTTTTATAGCATCCCTACCTCTTCCTACCCGAAAATTAGTAAGTATTATCTGTCTTTATCAATTCCAAAAAACTTTATATTTGTATAATATATAAATTTACTATTATTACTAGTCTACTACTTCAGTTGATAATGATGAAAAACTGAGAAAACGGGCAGAAAAATTTGGTCTCGACAAGACAAAAAATGAAACACCTACTAATATAATGGCTACATCAAATTCTTTAAGTGAGGAAGAGAAGAAAAAGAAGAGAGCTGAAAAATTTGGTTTGGTGGTGAGTTAGGAACAGTCGGATTAAAAAATTTATTCAATAAGACGTTACAAAATTTCATACATCTAATTTAATTATACTCTAAGACCACACCTTCACCAGTATCAACTGGCAGTTCCAATGTAACTAATATTGCAACATCCACCTCATCTTCACTATCTACGCTTAGCGAAGAGGAGAAAAAGAAAAGAAGGGCCGAGAAATTTAGCACTGATGTAAGTACATAGAAGTCTTTTCATAAAAATTTGCCGTAATCTGACTACTATTGATCGTTATAAGGTGTCAAATGGTGAGCCGTCGAGTAAAAAAGTAAAAGCTTAGATGAAGAAATGTCAGATATAGAGTCAAAAGATGACAAAAGTTCACACTATTTTGAATGGGTAAAGTTTGTTCGTTATTTTTTAAGAATTATTAACTTTATTCCTTTCTTTTTAAAACAGGGAAACCGCATTTGCATCACAGGAACTTTGTTTTGCTATTATTGTTCATTTTCTGTTTTACACTTTTTATGTTGTTTTTTTCCAACAAAATTGGAAATAAAACAAATATTACGTGAAATTTGTCAGTTTTTCTTTAAAAAAAAAAAAATAATAATAAATAAATAATAAAATAAATAAAAAAGATGAAAAATTAAATTTGACTTTTTTAATAAATTTATCCGAAAATATAATATTTAGTTGGTTTAAAACTTTGATCAGCAAGTATATGCGAGGGAATATATAAGTGCTACTAATGAAAATCAGGAAGCCTGAATGTAGATTACTATAAAATAATATTTAGGCTTCCTGGTTTTCACTTTGCGACACTTATATAATAGTTTTAACACAAAATGGTTTAAAAGCTCGATTTAATCACCTCACAAGACATACGCTACTGATCAGAATTTATCATAATTGCATTGACCAGATCTTGTTTAATATTTAAAGTATAATTGTGAGCATGTTTAAAAAAGTTTTATGTAAATAAGTGAATTCTAAATGTTCAAAGTTAAATTCAACAAATTTAAATTTAGTTCTAAAATTATAATTTTTCATAATCTAGTTTAGATTCTAATTTTTTGGCATCGGAAACTTTTCTAACAGCTTTCATGAAATCTTCTTGCACAACATAGTCTCGCTCCTCTCGAATAGCAAACATACCTGAAAAAATATATAGATATTACGTTAATGTAATGATTGTTGATTATGATAGATTAAAATGTAATTTTAATACGGAAATAAACGCGTAATAAACAATTTTTTAGGTTAGTTTTTTCTTTTTTTTATGGTTTGGATTAGGTTTGTTAGCCAAAAGTATAAGGATGTTGAGAAGGACTTAAACTTTCATTTCATTATAGTGAGTTTACGAGTAGTTAACATAATATGGATGTTAACACACGATATAAAGTGTGTTATTGATTATTGCTTTTTGACTATTCATCATTGCGGGTCACATAATAAATGTCTAACTCATCTTCCACATAAGAATGTTAATTATGTGATTTGCAATAAGGAATAGTCAAACATCAATAATGAATAATGCCTTTATATTATCCAAATGCTAATATTGATCAGATTTCATTTTAATCTGCGACGTTAATTATTATATAAAAGAATTATGCGAACCTGCTTCTGTACACACGTTACGCAAATCGGCTCCATTAAACCCATCAGATAATTTGACAATAGCTTCATAATCTAAATATTGTTAAGTATGGTAATATAGATGATATTGATAGAAGATTACTAAATGACGCAATAAGCAATGCAATAAATTTACCAATTTCGCCATGTTTGGTGATGGGCGCAGAGTGAATTTTTAAAATCTCGAGACGTCCTTGTTCATTAGGTAACGGAATTTCTATTTTTCGATCTAATCTTCCAGGTCTTAACAGTGCTGGATCTAGAGTATCAGGCCTATTAGTAGCCATTATTAATTTAGTTTGTCCTAGGTAGTCGAAACCATCCATTTGATTAAGAAGCTAGTTATGACCAAATAAGAATATATATAAAATTAAATATCAAAAAAATGCAAATTAAAGTTTATAGATGACGCCCTTGTTTACCTCCATGAGAGTTCTTTGAATCTCACGATCGGCACTTGTCCCTTCAGAAAACCGCCTCCCACCAATTGCATCAATCTCGTCCATGAATATAATGCATGGTTCATGATCCTTAGCGTATCCAAACATTTCTCTGATCAATCTTGCACTCTCTCCAATGTACTTGTCAACGATAGCACTCGAAACAACCTTTAAGAAATTCGTTTCGAGAGTACTAGCAACTGCACGGGCTAAAAGTGTTTTTCCGGTCCCTGGTGGACCATATAAAAGGACACCTTTTGGCGGCTTGATACCCACGCGAAGGAAGAGTTCCGGGTTCATGAGTGGCAATTCTATAACCTATATAACGATTTGAGTAGTTCGAAGGTTTCTGAAACGTCAATTATATAGCAGTTTGTAAGTTTGTAAAATGTCGAATCAGAAACCAGGGTTCCATACTTCACGAAGTTCTCTAATTTGCTCGCTTAATCCTCCAATACCAGCAAAATTTATTTTGCCAGGATCTTCTAAGCTCATATTATACACCAATGGATCAACCTCTCTGGGCAACATTCGCATGATGGTTAGGGTTGTCATATCTAAAGCAACGCGTGTTCCTTGTTTAAGTTTCTCTTTATTTACTTTATTGCGGCATCCGACCACATATCGTGGGCCAGATGAGGCTTTTACAATGACTACGGAATAGCAATCAAATTCAGATAGAATAATTCATTAACTATTAATTACTGAATGTTGTCAATTCCTATTATTATGACTTACATCGCTCTTCGTCTAATTGTTTCAGAACTTCACCTATAATCTGACCAACACTTTGAAGTGCTTTAATGTCTTCTTCAGTCTTATCATATACTTTCTCAAGATCGCGAAGCTCAAGGCGAACTACATAGTAAAATAAATAAGAATGTTTCTATCATGAGGTCATTTGTTCTATAGATTTTCAATATCTTAATAGAATCTATTTAATTGTGTCGATTTACTCACACTCTTTAACCTTTGCTTCATATTCACGATGCTCTAAAAGTTTCTTGCGATATTCTTGTAAAGCCTTTGCGCGTCTATCAGGGTCTGAAGATGAGCTAGAAGCCATTGTGTGTTCACTTTTATCTGAACGAGATAGTTTCAATTGTGAACTATATGTACTTACGTGAGTGTATACGTAAGTACGTACGTATATAGTAACCTGGTACTACAGTTGACGTAAGAAATTGTGCAGTTAAACGTGATCATGAATTAAGTATTATGACCAGTGTAGAGATGAAAACATTTATCGTTTATGTTCATTGAAATTTTTTAATATATGCCTTCGCCACGGCTTTTTTGCTAACCTTTTCCTTAGTTCCATTTGAAACCTAACTAATATTTCGTGGAAATCGGGCGACCAAAAAGAAAGCCTCATTTCTTCACCTTCCATCATGGGCAGTGTGAGCTCGTCTTTGGACGAACATCCGACCTTATACATAAAAAATCCTAGTCGATGTAATTTATTTAATTCACGGCTTTTTCAGGGACATTCAAGCATTATATTCATATTTTAATTTATGTTTATTTGTAATTTTTTAGTTCAAATCACGGAAATTTCAATAGCAAATTCCGTCAACGATCCGTATATAACATTCCCTGTCACATCGGCTGGTATTGCCGCTATTCCAAATACTATAGATCTACTAGAATTTACTCAAGACCCTAACGTTAAATCAATATCACCAAATAAGTTTTTGCTTAAATTGGCTAAAGATAAATGCTTGGAACTAAAGTTCAAATTCAACATAGGGGAAGCAGATGGAAATAAAGCTTATGTCAAAGGACTTACATTTATCAATGTTGCTAGTGAAAAAGAACTGGAAAGAATAGTAACAGTTGAATTCAACGATGACCCCAACGTAAGTAATTAAAAAAAATTTTTTTGAATGTTGTATGGTACGTACCTCTCAGTTGAATAAGAGATAGTCTACGGGATGCTGCTCGGATAATTATTAACGTATTAATGAAAATGTGCTCGCTTTACAAAAATTTCATCAAGGGTTGGTTTTATGATGATAAGTCAAAGCATAATTTTACTACTTAAAATAAAAAAAAAAGTCGGATTTTTTTATAACAAATATGGTTATGATTTTATAAACAAAGTTATTCAATATCAATTGTTATTAATCTTATATACATTTTAATTATACATTCATATGTATATTTATAGTTACATAAACATCCAAAAGTAACATTAGTTGGAAATTATGAATCGGATGGAGTAAAACCCTTAGAAATGGAATGGACTTGGATGTGGTCAGCTCCACATAATATGGACGAAGTTCATCGAGGGTGGCGAAACTATTGCTGTGTAGGTTTTGATTATTTAGTCTATTCTTTCATGTTTTTAAATTTCATGACTCACCCTTGTTTAGTTTGCCGAATATGATGCAAAAGATAATACTTTCCAATTATTGGCTGCGTTCACATTTTGGGTTGCTGGTGTGTTAAATATTTTAATTTTTATTATTATTTATTTGCTTATATCTTTTGCTTTAAAATTATTTGACAGTCATTATGTAAACAAATCTTCAGATAGCACACGAAGTTACTATCATCGAGCGTCGAAAAGCACAGGATCCCTCGACGGAACGTCATTTCTTACAGGAACATCATCACTACTTCCGTCTTCTACATCTGCACCATGGTCCCTTCCACGCAGCGTCCGTCCATCGAGTCCGGATACAGTATATCTTCCAGTACCTGGTATGTCGTCGCACACATCTGGGACTGCCTCCTCAATTTCAAGTGGGGGCAGACGCTCTTCTGATGACTTAATGTTCCAGCATGAACCCGAAGATGGTCCATTGTTTCGTGCCACTCTTTCATCATATGAGAAAAAGACAGGTTCATTGAGACAATATATAAAACGTATACTTAAGGCTGCATCGGCGTCTCATGAAGTCATGTTGGACAGCAATGAAGCAGACGAAGAGCTTATGGTGGCCTTAAGGGCAGCAGCAACGGCGCATCCTCAAGCATTTCAACCAGTGTTGGATAGCTATCTAGAAGATGCTTCTAAAAAAATTGCGACCCTCAGAGAAAATCTTGCGAATCAAATGTCTATTCTCCTTATAGAACCCTTACGAAAAATGTATGAAAATGATATTAAAGTTGCTGATAGCAAAAAGAAGGAATTCGAAGATGAATCTCGTGATTATTATCAGTTTTTATCCAAGTATTTATCCATGAAAGTTGATTCTGCTAAAGAGAAGAAGAAACTCGAAACTGATTCTAAATATCAAAACAAACGAAAGACTTTTGAATTGAAGCGATTCGATTATTACGCATATATGCAAGACTTACATGGGGGAAGAAAAGACCAGGAAATTTTATATCATTTGACGAACTTTGCTGAAAAGCAGTTTGCATTTTATCAACAAACTGCAATGAGTATACAAAATTTGAAGCCAAGTTTAGACAAACTAGCGGTTGATGTTGCGGAGGCAACAAAGGAGATTCATCTAATGAGAAAAGAAAGGGAAGAAAGGCGCAGAGCGTTGGAGACTCGAGCAATAACTGCAAATCCATTCACAGGCGAGACTTTCAATGAAGGGGAGAATTCAAACAATTGCAATGGAAGTGTATCTACGGATAGTACTGTCGACAATGCAGAAAGTCAAACATCGATTCATACTGGATCACTAAATACAACACAAAATAAATTCAAAGGAATCCGTGATTTGGAGCAACAAGGCACTGAATCTGCATCAACTGCTGGCAGGAGGAAAGAAGGATTTCTATTTGCTACATCACGAGCAACGCAACATGGAACTGTTGATCCGATCGCAAAGAATAATTGGCATAAGTAAGTATTTGTTGAATTTTCTCCAAAAATTATTGTTGATATTTGTCATATGGTAATCGTAACAAAATTTTAAGATATTGGTGTGTATTGGCGGGAGGTCAACTTTGTGAATACAGTAATTGGAAAAAACAACTTGAAACACACAACGAGCCAATAAACTTGCGATTTGCGACGGTAAGAGAAGCAAGAGGCGCTGACCGTCGTTTTTGTTTTGAGGTCATAACGCCTCAATATCGACGTATATACCAAGCAATTTCTGCTGAAGATATGAGTTCGTGGATGGCAGTAATTTCCAATGCCATTGAGAGTCTTCTTAACGGAACAAGCAGCTGTCGTAATTTGGATCAAGTCTTAACTCAAGACGTAGATAGTACTGGTGCTGGGACGTTGTTTTCCAAAAAAGCCCTTCAAAGGAGGGGAACATTGCCAAGTTTGTCTGAAAAAAGAAAACACGATATGAAGAAGGGTACACCAATATTATCTGAGGAACCAATTATAAAAGCTCAGTCTAAAGGTCGGAACCGCCAGGAAATGGATGAAAATGCAAAATCTGTGAGAATTCTTGAGTCTATCAAAGGGGCAGACATATCGAATACCTCCTGTGCGGACTGTGGAGCGCGCAAGACAGAATGGTGTTCAATCAATTTGGGGATTGTTCTATGCATAGGTAAATATTTATCTATATGAAAACGATAGCAAATGTTGATTTATCTCTTATTGGATCATTTAATTCAAAAATATAAATTACTTCTTCAGAGTGTTCTGGGATCCACCGTAGTTTGGGGACGCATATTTCAAAGATAAGATCGCTTACCTTAGACACGACTTCTTATACACCTGACCTTATTCAGTTAACTAAATCAATCGGAAATGCACGTTCAAATGCTATTTGGGAAGCTACACTTTCAGCAAATGAGCAACATGCAGATAATCCACCCATATCGTCTTCGAAGCCCGATTTTCCACCACCAGTTCCGCCAAAATTTCATTATATTTCCGAAACAACAGCAGATTCTGATTGGGAAGACCTCATTAATATGATATCACCTTCAACTCGTGTTCCATCTTCATCTTCATCCACCTCACTCGCTCAATCATTTACATCACCGACTTCAAAAAAGCCTCAAACCATTCATAAACCAACAAGTACCGATATTCGTGAAGTTAAAAAAAAATTTATCACAGCTAAATATGTAGATCGGGCATTTGTCGATTTTTCTCTTGTTGACGAGGATAAAACGGCGACAGATCTTCTTTTTCAGGCTGTGAAAGCAAATGATATACCTTTAGCAATGCAAGCTATCGCGTTGAGAGCTGATGTGAATACTGCACGTCGATTCGAGGTTCTAGGTGATCACGGATTAAAAACGCCATTGTTATTGTCTTTGCTCCACATTGAGCCTTCGAAAATGGTAACAGAAGAAGGGAGGACGCTGTTTCCTATGGCTGAGTTATTATTACAAAACGGATCTTACATCGAGAATATCTTATATGACAATCTCGAGGATATGCTTGGTGTAGCATCACAGCCTACCACACGAGGTTCAGCGAAGAGTGTTGGAACTTGGGCAACGGATGTTGTTAATGATATGAAGAAATCTGGAAAAACTGTCCTAGATGTAGTACAATCAAGTGGAAACATCGCAGCAATAAGATACATTACACCAAAAGTACTTGCTAGAGGAGCTCCAAGTGTTACAAATACCTCAATATCCACAACGAGTTCTGGTGGTGTAGTAAATGGCAACATTACAGAAAAAAAGTCATCTTCAAACATAGGTCGTTCCATATCGATATCAGTTAGGAATGTATTATCATGACAGGATCATGATAAAAGGAATTCGTTTAACTATAAGTCGTGGACGGTAAAACATTCGGCTATTCTAATTTATTTTATAATCTTAAAATACTCTTCTATTTGTCTAATTTTTTTTTTTTTTTTTAAAAAAAAAAAAAAAAAAGCATGGTTTTTTCCTATGCGTCCATTTAAGCTTTTAATGTGTTTCAAATTTATTTTTGTATTTTTATTAAAATTTATTATATAGTTGATAGATGTGTGATTCTCGTTTAGCTTAGTATATACATCGTTTTTTTTTTTTTTTTTTTTGTATATTATATAATTTTATTTCACGAAAACAATTCACACATAAATTTACAGATGTAATGTAATGGGAATTATATTTTTACCATTTTTATCAATTTGTACTATTAAATACATTTCCATTAATAGCAAGTTGAGAATGTTTTAGCTTGGTTATTACGGATTAGCTTCAACATTTTGTCACATAATGTTTGTGATAAATCTTAAAATTAGTAATTATGAAATGTGGTAAATTTTCTCTTTTATTCGATAGTGGGTGGGGGTTATTCTCAGGGATAATAATCACTGATGAAAAATTTATAAAAAATTTTTTAGTAAAACATTAAAAATTGTATTATAAAACACTTCTACAGTGTTTTGGCACCTATCACCGTTATATGGGGTCTTTGCCTTGAAAATAGGGTTCCGGGGTCCCGAAACCAAAATTGATATTTTTTAAATATCAATTTATGAAACTCAAAACTTATTTTGTGCAAAGTTTTATAACTGGTTAAATTTTGGTGACGTTTAAAGCGAATTAACTTTAGGGTTGGGTTTTAGGTAGGTATATACAGAGTTGCCAATGGACAACTTTGGACATGAGTTAGGACATTTTTGGATATTTTTGGACAAAAATATAATTAAAATTACTCAATTTTGTTATTCAGAACCTAAAAAAATATATATTCATCTATTTTTTCGATAAATTTAATAATTATTAGAGCTTGGACATGCTTTGGACACTTTTGGACACTTGGACATTTGGATGTTGTACATGGTCAAAAAAACCTTGAACAGTGAAAAAATGTATGTAGATTTCCGATTTTGTAGATCGTTACACAATTAATAAAAGATTTTTTTTATACGTTTTATAATACTTTTTTCGGAAGCTTGGGTAACTTATCTGACAAGTAAAGAGGAACAAGTTCACTAAGTAAACTTGTAGTTTTTGCTTAGCCGTATAACATATTTGTTTAATTCATCTTAATCTGCAGCTTTTATATTCAAAATCATGTTTGAAATTACTATTAAAATTAGAAATATAAAGTTATTAAATTTAATAAATTCTGTTTATTAAAAAATAAAAAATAAAAGCAAATTAAAAGAAATGGCTTAACAAAAATAACATAAAAAAAAAGTATTATTTTATTTTTATTTTTATTTTAAGATGATTTCTTTGGTCTTTTGACTTTTATTAATGATTTTTTTGGTAATGTGATTTTATAAACTATTATAGAAAAAGTATACAATTGGTTATATTTTTAATTTTTCTATATTACTTATTTAAGAAGTCTGCCTAAAGATTTCTTATCAATTGTTGTATTTAACATCTCTGCTTAGATGTTTTATTTTAAACCCTCTGAACTTATATTTATGTTAATATTACTAAATCAAGTTTAAGTTATTGTTTCAATTTTAGAATTATTTTATTCTTAAAATAAATCTTTTGAAACCTTTTGCATTTATTTTTATAGTTGATCTAGTATTGTTATACAAAACCAATATTTGTAATCAGAGTTATATTATTTAATTATTATATTTTTATAGAGTTTATTTAAATTTTAGCATCTACTTTATAGCATATTCCTTGTATTTTAATATATTTCTAACTTTTTACTAGATTCTTAATTCAGAAAAGTATTATTTAATATTATTTGTATTATATAAATTTAGTAAAAAATTTATTATAAAAGTTTTAAAAAATTATTAAACAAATAAAAGTTTTTGTTGAATAACCTGTTCTAATATCTTAAATAAACTTGTTCAGCTCAGAATTTTAGATATATTTTACAAATATTATATTTTTAGTTTTTAAACTCATTAAAAAAACTGTACTGATATTCTTTGACTTTTAGTTTTAATAATTTAATTTTTTTGTAGTTTCTATTACAATAACCTATTTTATATTCTTAATTAAAGTTATAATACACATTTGTCTGATCAAAACAAACTCTAAACAAAAAATTTTGATTTAATATTACAACAAAATTTCTCTTTTATTTTCTTATAAAACTTTTTTTTCTTTTATTTTTTGTTTCTACCTACTCTTATTTTCTTTACATATTTTTTGTATAATCATACTATCATTTTTTAATTTATACTTTATTAATTTATACAAAAATTTTTTGTAATTTATCTATTAATAAAAATTCATTTAACATAATTTAATTATTTTTATATTTGGTTCTTATTAATAATATATAACAATTTGCATTGCAAATTTTATTTGTATATAGTATCTAAGTCACATCAGTGATCCCAATCATCCTAATTACATCTTGTACTATTTTAATGACATCTTAACTATACAACTCCTATTTTTAATTATTATTCTTACAAATTAATTATTTGGTTATAATTTTAAATTAGAAAAATTTTTTTAATATAATATTTATTTACTTATATCTTAAAAATGCTTACATTAACTAACTAAGAGCTAAATACAGTAGATCTTGACTTTTCTACCAAAATTTTTCTAACAGTTTTGAAATTGCACTCTATGAAGAAGAAAATAGCAATAATGCTTGTCCAATTTCTCCTAAAATTAAATCTACTTCTTGCTTAACTAAAAACCTTTGATTCAACAAAATTACTTATTTTTTTTAAACTTCTTTTTCTATTTTTGTGATTACTTGTCTCTGTAGCAAATATCATATCAAATTTATCTTATCTACTAATACTAACTATACTCAAACTACTAAACTTATTACAGTTTATATTAATAGCAATTCAAAAAAAAATCCAAACAAATTAATTCAACAACTTATGACTAATATCTTTTCTTCGACTAACAGTATTCTTCCATCTTCTATACCTGATATATACTACTATACCTGTTCTAAATACTCTCTTCCAATTGATTGTATTAAAAGAAATAAGTATTACTACTCTAATAAAAAATATGTTATAAAGAATAATAAAGTTTATTATCTTGCTTATATGACTGCTTCATCTCAACATGAAGCTAGCTCATCTTATATCAAAAAAATCTTACACAAACTTTTCAAAATATCCTAAATAAATTTTCTTAAATTACTAATTCTCTTATTATCTCTTCTTACCAAACCTCTTAAACTGCTTCTAATCTTATTGATTCTTTCATTTCTACAGCTACTAACATCAATCTTGTTTTTAATCAACCTTCAATTCTTATTATTCTTGATAACTTTAAGTTAAATCCTAACAATCCCAATAATTCTAACTAATCTAATAATACTTAAACAAAGTTTCTTCTTAATCCTATTCCAGTATCATCAAACCAAAATTTAATCTCACATATGACTAGATTGCAAATTTTCCTATCACTAAAGAAATATAATCTAATAAAAAATTACAAACTCTATTTTTTTTCCAATTTTTTACTTTTTTCAAAAATTCCTTTATAACTTTTATCTTAGTAAAAAAATCAAGCCAGCTACTGCTACTTAACTAGTACTTAAAGCCTCATTCTATTATGTCATTTGCATAATGGCTAGACAATAGCCTGAATTCTTAATTGATCTTATTTATAATAATAACTCCAATATTGACAAAAGTATTACTATTCTCTTTAATCTTTTTGAATTCATCTTTAAAAATCTTATTCTTAAATTTACAATTATCCTTTTTACCAAACTTAACTATCTTGAAATTTTTGTTTTATCAGTTACTGTTCTTTTATATATTGCTCATAATCATCTTCAACTTTGTCTTAATCTTATACAATTTTATCTTTTCTTATCTAATAATTACTAATTAATCAATTATCAAAAATTTATTGAAGACTTAAAGCTTAGATCTAAAAGATTCAAAATTAAATCTTTTACTCAAACTACTAATTTTTAACAAAAATATCTCACTATTTAATCAGACTCTAGATTTAATATTAAACTTCTTTTCAGTATTCCTAAAACACTTTTTCTTGAAAAATTTTGTATCCTCTTATTTAAAAACTCTTTTGATTATTTTAATTCCTAATTTGAAACTTACTTTTTACTTTACAGTTAACAATTATCTTCCAATATTGATAAAAAAAAAAAGTTTACATCTCTCGTAGAATTCAATTCTGACAATATTTTATTATTCAATTATCTAAACATCTTCCTGAATCTTATACATTTCAAAAACCTAACTTACTCTATAAATGATATAAAGAAGCATTATGAGTTACTAATTTTTACTGTCTTATTTATAAAAATAAATTATATTAATATTTGATGATAAAAAATTTATGACAGCACTAAGCTCTTCAATAATATTTTAAATAAATCCTGCTTATTATTTCTTCTTCAAGATGATGAAGTATAGATTTACCCAACTCTTAATACTATATTATTTCATAAAAATAAAGAACATGTTGCCTCACTTGATCAACTTATCTTTACCAAAGCTTTAAACAAGTTAGCTAACCAAGCTGAAAACTTTGTATATATATAAAATAAAGTCAAAATTAAATTAAAACATCATAATTATTATTTTTATTGTTACTTCTCTCTATACTATCAAACTGTTGCTAAAAATCATAACATATAGTTTTTTTTTAAGAAGGAGACAATCAATTTTCTTATAAAAAATATTATTAATACCAAATTTTTTACCCAAATTATCACCTATTTTGATGTTATCAAAAATTTACTTACTTACAAAATTTTTAGCAAAAAATTTAACCTTGACTTCTAACCAGTTTCAATCCTTGATTTATTTTTTTTATAATCTTCTTTTTAAGTTCTTTGTCTTCTACAATTAACATTTTTTTTTTTT